ACGTTATCCTTGAATCTTTTCAAGAATTAGTTAAAAATGAGAAATTAATTAATCCAAAAGTCGACAAGGTTTTATCGTTATCTTATCCTCAAGAAGTTTAGTCTAACATGGCTGAATAGCAAAAAACATGTTTGGATTAGAATACATAATCGGAGTTTCACAATAATTGAAGAAAACGAGAGTATAAATCATCAATGTTTGAATCTCTTCAATAGATCTTGAATGATCTTCCTTCTCCTCATTTTGACTCCAAGAATCCCTGATGATGTGTTTTGCTTCCTAAGATTTATATGATGTCTACTTCCAATAATTTTATATGCTCTTCCTTCTCCTCGTATTGAATTTCTCGCATGGCTTTCTATTATGTGGTATAGAATCCTCCTTTTATGACATGAAATTGATCTTTATATAGTCATTTATTACCTTGAAAGTGGTGTATGGAAGAATATCGAAGTTTTCCTTGAAAAAACCAAATCGTAGTCTATTTATTTTGCCTAGACATGCTTCAGCTGATGTCACATGTCCTATGCATGCGACCTCAAGCCCTCAATTTTCATGTTTTCACATTATGATCCTCAAAGTTTCATCATTGCTCAATTTGGTCCCTAAAATTTGAGTATTGTCAATTTAGGTCTTTCTTTCAATATTTTCAACTTTGTTCCTTTAAGTTCAGAAAAAGTTCAATTTAGTCCCAAAAGTTTTATATCATACATTTTCCCCCCAGAAACTCTCCAAATGAAAAATTTGTCGCGAGGTTCATGGTTCGTCTCAAAACGAGCTCGAGTCACCCATGTGTCAAGTTAGGATGAGACCAGCTCGCTAGTGGCTCAACCCATTTTTCACCCTTATATTGCACTAGCTTCTTCCATTCCGCTCCCAAAATCAATAGATAATAATATATAGGGTAAATTCTACTCGAGTCTCCAATCTTTCTTAACTGTGTTTTCTGTGAAACTCACAAATGCATAATATCACGACGAGTAATAAAACTGGATTGTGAGTTTAGTACTCATCTCGCAAGAACTATGTACCTGGCATTGATTTCTTTTATTAATTCTATNAAAACTGGATTGTGAGTTTAGTACTCTTCTCGCAAGAACTTTGTACCTGGCATTGATTTCTTTTATTTATTCTATATATTTATACCGTTTGAATTACTAATGGATTGGTTATTTTAACTACAAACTACTAAAAACAATTATGGTGTTGGTTGGAATCAATCACAATTTCGCCATAGTTTATCCAGTTTATTTTCTCCTCTCGATTTAATGGCATTATTTAATTCGGTTTGACAATAAGATAAATTTAAAATATTTGACAATCTTTCTAGAGTAAAATCATACTTAATTGAATCTAACTGTCTCCTACTCAACTTGTAATTTTTATCACTTTAAATTGATATTTTACCTCTCGATTTAAACAAGAATTCACTAACAATTCTCTGGCCTAATTTTTGAAACTAATCTAATCAACAGAAATCATAATTGGACTTAAAAAAATCGAAAACTGAAATTAAACAATCAAATTAGGCAACATCATTCGTTTTAACTATAAAATTTAACAGAACATATTCACTGAATACAAACACATAATATATGAAATCGACATCACCCTGATTAACAATAAAGAGGGCAAAGAAAGAATAATGAATCCTTCAACATCACTGCGAATCCTCAAGTCTCCATTCTTCTTCAAACTCGTTCCAGCCCTAGGAAAGATTAATTTGTGTTCATGTATGTGTTTTGATCTATTTTTCATCCCCTTTTAATCACTGAGGC